GCCCCCTTCCAGGGCTGAGCTCCCTCCGGGGCGGGCGGAGCGGAAAAGAGGCGAGCCTCCCCCCCCCCAGCGGCTGCTGCCTTTCCAGGGACAGGCTGTGGTGGTGACGGTAAGCCAGAGGCGCTCTGTGCATGCTCTCAGCCCCTGGTACCAAGGCTCCCTTGAAGCTGTGGCGTCTCATGAGCAAAAATCCTACTTTGTGAGCTGCTGGCATTAAAGTTCTGAGCGGGCGATTTGGCTGCTGCATGAATTAGTTTGCTCTGGAGCCACATCCTTCCTGAGCTGAGGTGCGCCTCCCCCTCCTCCCCCCACTTCAGTGGCGGTGACAGCGGGGGGAGGAGGCAGTGGCAGCAAAAGGATGGCTGGGGAGGCAGGTGAGGTTCTCCTGCGTGGCGCTGCCTGGTCGCCTGCTGGAGGAAGGCCCCCCCACACACAAGGAAGGTCGCTGGTTTTGGGTGGCGCTGCAATTCGCACACAACTCCTGCATGCTGCCTCACTTCTCTCTCTCCCCCCCCCACTAAAGGGGGGTGGCGCTGCAATTCGCACACAACCCCTGCATGCTTCCTCGCTTCTCTCTCCCCCCCCCACTAAAGGGAGAAGCCGGGAGAGATCTGTGCGTGCGCCTGCACGCCAAGCCAAGGGTTTGCAGCTTGGAGCACACGGCCTCCCCGCCTGGAGGTGCAGGGCAGGCGGCCAGGTGGGCAGAGGGGGCGGTCCCGAGGAGGAGGGCTTCCGTCTCTCCAGGCCCTGCCTGGAGGTTGGCAACCCCATAATTGGGTGCACGGGGGGTTGCCAGAAGGTAGCCCCGCCTAGGGCGCAAAAAACCCCTCAGGCCAGCCCTGCAGATGGGGGGGGGGGTGGGGAAAAGGGGGGGGGGGATTGGAAAAGGAATTTATTATGCTGGGGTTCAGAAAGTGTTCAGTAACAGTTGAGCTGATGAAGGGCTCTGATCATGTGCAGAGTTCCCTTCCTTCATAGAATAGTCACAAACAATGCCCACTCACTTGGAATCTGGTGAAAGAAGAAGGAAAGCTTCAGTCTAAGCAGTGTTATCTGTCTGTCTGTCATCTATCTATCTTATATCTATCTAGTACTGCTCTTACAGCTATAGTCTTGAACAGAAAAGAAAACAACAAAATAGTATAATGCCTGACTTAATATTATTCTTCTGATGTTTAATTATTGCCTCTTTAAATTTTGCCACGGAGAGAGTAACAAAATCATTTAGGTACCCACGTCACCTGTGTTCTCATACCATCAGATGCCTCGTTGGGCATTTCCAAATTTTTTAATACAGGAGTAACTACACTTGCCCTCAACTCATTAAATGTAGGACATTCCATGATCATATATTCTCAGCTGTTTCATCTTTGTCATGTGAGCATCTACATGTTCTATTTGAATATAATACTTTTTATATCTACCCTCCAAAACTGCTAAAGGGAGAGCATTCATTCTTGTCAAAGGAAAGGCTCTTGGGAGCTCTTCAGATATGCAGTTCTTATATAAGAAGCCCTGGTGAGGGTGGGTAATTTAAGGGTGTCTCCCATAATGTGAAAAAGCTCCCATTGCAAAGACATTTTTGCATGTGAATGCTATTGATGCAGGACATAAGCAGACGAGATTCACATAAAGCCAACTCCACTTTCTAACCTGCTGGCTTATCTGTTTTATCTATGAACCACACGTTAACCCCACTTTTCCACCAAGATCAGGGCAGTGCACAGGGCCCTCCCTTCCCTGTTTTAGCCTCACAACATCCCTGTGAGGTGGGCTAGACTGACATGGAGTGACTGGCTCAAAGTCACCCAGTGAGTTTCCATGGCAGAGTGGGGTTTTGACCCTGGCTCTTCCAGATCTTAGAATGACACTTTAGATGAGCCTCTACACTGCACTGGTCTGGAATTCCAGATGCAAACAGCTGTTCCTTACCGGAGACGGATGCTTACCTGCCACGGTGGAACTGAAGCTCTCACGTCGTCCTTCCAGAGTCATCCTGTCAATTCACTCTCTGATTCACTCTCCAGGTCCTCAGTCCTGCCTGCCTGTCTGGTACCTGCCACATGTAGGTCCCCGTGGAGCCTTTTATAGCAACTGCTTCCCAACTGGTTCAGTCCAGCCACACATGGAGGGAAGCCAGCCAAGCCACCCCTCTCCTCTCATCCCTCCGCCCCAAAAGGTCAGACCTCTGGAGTCCAGGCAGTTTCATGGGGCAGGATTAGCAGCCAGTTATCAGGGTTATTTTTACCGCTGCTCACCCAGCTGTTCTTCTGCTTCGGTATATATGCCCCAGATGTTCCTGGAAAGATCCTGCTGTTTTCTTCTTGCTTAAGGCACGAGGGGCTAATATTTGGTGGGACAAGCCTTAAGGGAGAGAGAAAGCGTGCACTGCTTCTCTACAGCTCCGTTATTTTGTATGTCGCCAGGCAGTAGCTCATCGTGCCTGCTTTCGGCTCACAGCTCGCACCAGAGAACCTCATTGTTATTATTTTTGAAATGAATTTTATTGAAGTTTTTAAACAGAAAAAAAGATTAAAAAAGAGAAGAAAGAGGGGGAAAGAAAAAACAGAAAAAGAAATCAAGCTATGACAATGATGGAAAAAGAAGGAAGGAGTAATCCCCGATTTTCTCCGTGACAGAAAAATATTCATTTGCATGTTTCTTTCTTTCTTTTTAAAAAAGATTTATTTATCCATTTTCCAGTTGTGTATCAAGTTACATATTTTACATATATATGCAGTTGTCTATATTTTCCATATCTTATTTATCCATTTATACAGATGCGTCCATCTTGCATAATAAATATTATCATCTTTTCCTTGTAACATTAAGCTTAACTTGTCCATTTCAGCTATCTCTAATAACTTACAAATTATATCTTCTCTTGTGGAGAGTCTTTCTTGCTTCCAATTTTTGGCTAACAAAATTCTAGCAGTTGTTAACATATAGGTTAAAATATATCTTTCGCTCTGCTTATAACCTTCTGGGATCATATTTTGAAATCCCATTAGAAGAAGTACATCTCCTTTCGCTGTACACTTATTATTTTTTGCCTCTTAATCTTCAAAACCACAAATCATTACAGAGAACCTCATTACTGATATAAAATTCTTGTTTCAACGTCCCTCACTTCCTCTGGAGAGTTCCAAGGTAGTTTTAGAGAGGGTGGGGTTGTTTTTTTCTGTCAGAATACCGGGTACCAAAGGCTTGAATTATAGTCTGTAATTCCTGTTTATCTGTAGGTACACAGGCTGAGCAGGTAGTGTACAACTACAAGTAGAAATGGGAGACTGGCTCCCCCACTCCTTGCAGTGTGTAGGTGGCTGGGGGGGGGAATAAAATTGTCCTATTGCTATAACGATATAATGATATATCAAAATGTTGATTACTTTTTAAAAAATGAAAACTTCCCCCAGCCATGGAGGGAGCAGAGATGAGGGTGAAATAGCTGCCACAGAAAATGGAGGGGACCCACTCTGTGGTGCTGTTGTGCTGCATTGGCAACCACAGCAGCAATGGGGAAACCACAGCAAAGTGCCCCCATGTGGAAAGGGCCACAATCTATCCCCTTAAAGCCAGTTGTGAGGTTAGCAATGGCTATGTTTCTAGAAGAAGTTGGATTTATACCTCGCCCTTCACTACCTGAAGAAGTCTCAGAGCTGTTTACAAACTCCTTTCCCCTCCCCTTCCCACAACAGACACCCTGTAAGGTAGGTGGGGTTGAGAGAGCTCTACAAGAACTGCTCTTTCAAGAACAGCTGTGCCAGAACTATGGCTTGTCCAAGGTCATACAGCAGCTGCAAGTGGAGGAGTGAGGGAATCAAACCTGGTTCTCCCAGATCAGGGTCCGATCACTTAACCACCACACCAAACTGGCTCTCCTCTAGTTCTCATGGTTCCAGATTACTGCCCAATGAACATCTGGGTTTATTGGGGCACCTGAGCTTCTGAGTGGTTGGGTATGGGAGTAGGGTGTGGCAATAATTGGGAAACACCCATTCTGCATGGCTTCTATCCAGTGTTCCCTATAAGATGAGTTAGTGTGAGCTAGCTCACAGTTTCTTACCTTCTGGCTCTCACGTTTTTCTCTCAGCTCAGGAAGGAGGGCTCCAGATTAAACTGATTTATGCAGTAGCCACATCGCCAGCTAACAACTTTTAATGCCAGTAGCTCACAAAGTGGAATTTTTGCTCACAAGACTTCACAGCTTAGAGGGAACATTGCTTCTATCCCTTTCCCTGTTTCCTCCAAATTCCGTTGCTAAAGGACAAGATGTGCATATCACAGGGTTTTGTTTTTTTGTTTTTTTAAAACATACTATTTGAGAGGTTCATTCCTCTAATACCATGTGCACAAGGCCGCTGGGGTCAATAAGTCCTCGTCCCTGGTTTCATCCATACGATTGCCAATAGAAGTGAAAATCTCCGGGTCCGTCATCATGTGTACGCCTTGAAGCTGGTGCAGGAAAAGCCCCGTCTTTATTTACTCTATCTGAGAACATGGCAGGGCGATTATAGGATATTAAGGGGAAATTAGTTCACTGTTAAGTGATCTAACAGTTTGGAAACCGAGTAGCCCTTCCCTAGATCAGGTTCCTTTTCCTGTTGCCCACTAATTGCAACCCTTTTGGGGGGAGACCATCTGTTTCGACAAGGATCTTTTTGCGCTGGGCAAAAGCCCCTTGGCCTGCGTGTCAGTATTCTGCCCCCCAAGCGAGGACAGATGGGCCCTGACCTTTCCTTATTCCTTGGCAGTCTATGCTTAGCGTGCAGCAGTTCCTTTGCTAACGGGGGGCTTATTGATGTACAGTACAGAAATATGCCACTGGGGAGGGAAGGGCTTGAGAAGGGGGGGCTAGAAACAGGCAGATGGGTAGCACACTGTTTGTTGTGTGCCCTGGCTTTGGGTTTCCATGGAGAGGCACTCACTGAAATGGTTTGGAAGGATTGAAGAAGAAAGTGGAATGAGAGGAGTAGGGGAAAGCTGGTTCTGATAGGCTCCCGAGGATGGCTTTTTCTGGGCCGGGAAATACCTGGAGGTTTTGGGGGTGGAGCCTAGTAACGGCAACGTTTGGGGAGGGGAAGGACCTAGGGTTGCCAGCCTCCAGGTGGGGCCCGGAGATCTCCCACTTTTACAACTGATCTCCAGCTGACAGAGATCAGCTCCCCTGGAGAAAATGGCTGCTTTGAAGGGTGGACTGTATGGCACTGTACCATGCTGAGGCCCCTCCCCCCCCGAGACCGCGCCCTCTCCTGGATCCACCCCCAGGTCTCCAGGTATGTTCCAACCCTTCCCTGGCAACCCTAGAAGGAACTCAGCAGGGCATAATGCCACAGAGTCCACCCTCCAAAGCAGCCATTTTCTCCAGGGGATCTGATCTTGGTCACCTGGAGATCCACTGTAATATCAGGAGATTTCCAGGTTGTTATGTACGTGGACCGCCTCCAGGGGTCCGCGGACAGGCCAGAGCTTGGATCCGAAAACAAAGGAAACTTCGGATCCTGGATCCCCCAGCCCCAACCAATAGCCACCTTGGCGGGACATTCAAACCCTCCAATGGGAGTGGGGGGGT